CTATACGCTGCATAAAAATCATGTTCGTTGATGGACGCTACGACGGCTAAACCGACGACGCTGCATATATACAAAGTGTCCCGGTGCTTTTTCACGGTCAAACTGTAAGGGTAAACGAGCAGGGAAAACTGTACGCTACCCTCCCGCCCTGTATACACTTATATATATATATATGACTGCAGCGGTGTTATATTATGCATTTCCGACAGTGTGGCGTTATTGTTAAATATTATTATTATAATATATATATACGATCGGCTTCGGCCGTGACGGAACTCGCGTTTCCGTATAATATATWATATAATTATTRTTACTGAAATYGCGGTGGGGGTGGCGGATTAGCGCTCAAAATAACGTTTCGATAAAACGTAGTTATTATAATTTATGCGAACGGGCCTATTTTTCCGTTCACCCGCGACGATTTCGAAAAACAGTCCGTAGTCGCCGGTCCCGCGAAATCGTACGAAAAACCGCGACGTCATTCCGTACACGATCAATCAATCGTCAGACCGCTGCAAACGGCCGGCGATGATCCGTCGGCAGTGCTATATTATATAGCCACATCAACAATAATATTGTGCTCAGACGGTATTAATTGTTATTTCGATTTTCATTGTTATTTTTACGATTATCATTATTCGATAATCATAACATATACACGCATCACGAATAACAGCAGCAGCTGTAGTCGGCGACGATGACAAACAGCAATATTATTGCGATATATTATGCTGACCGCGCAGGGTGCAAMCGTCCAAGTCTGTCCCGCGATTTTTGGTCGATTTCCCGGAGTTGGTCTGTCGTCGATATTGTCTGATGGTTTTTTTTGTTTTTTACCGACGTATTATAGAAATGTATCTACGGCATATATTGATAATAACGATATCATAATATTGTTTGCGTTAAAAACATTTGTAACGCTTATTAGGTACGTTTGTCTTGTACAATACTATTTGGTTTATGTTCGTTTGCAGGCTGTAATTAAAATGACAGTTGGCATAATACGCTTTTTATTGGTTTAATACTACGACAAAAGTRTATGAAATATTATTATGTCTACCTATACTGAGTTAAAATCTTAAATGGAATTATTATACTTATTATATTATAGTAAGTTATGATGTTTGWACGAAATGTACACGGTTGAATTGACTTCAAAATATTTTATATTATACACGCCTACAATACGAAAGAGATAAAAGCACAAATAACTTACTATTTATATATAAATATAATATAAAACTTTTGAAGTACTTTTACTTCCTCGAAAAGGGTTTTCCGGGATAAAAAGCGCGCATAGTTGTCGTATATATTATAGAGATATAACTAAATATAATAAAATGTTGTGGGAGTCTGTTTCCTCGGTTCTTGGCGACCTAAAGCTTTTAAGCATTTTGAGATATTAAATGAATTTTGACACCGGACGTGTGCAATTGATTGTCAGCTTGAAAAAAAAAAGTGCATGAAATTGATACGAAGTATTATACCTAGAATGTTGTTTACTATTGTTGGCTATGCACTATTAACGTGTCCCGATGTTTTGTTTAGTGCGTGATGATGTTTACATGCTCGTTAATTCTCTGCACCGACACATAGTTTTGTTGTTGATAGATTTCGTAAACTTTTTTTCCATTAAAATATTATACAAGCCGACGGTGTAACTAGGCTCGTAAATCATACGCTGGTCCCGACACCAATTATCCGCCGGCCACGATGATTATCGCACATGCTGAACCATAAACAATTTTCCCGCGCGAACACTGATATAATATCACTTCACAAAAATAACCATGTTTGGATGGCACAGATATTACAATAATATTATTATGTTGTTGCTTTTTTTTTTATTTCGTCCAATCGCCGGCCGATCGAATAATTTAATAATTATTGTTGGTTGTAAAAACGGATGGTTTTATTTTTATTTTTTATTATTTACTATTTTTATTATTCACGTTGCAATAAAAGTTTGGTATACAAAAAACCGTTGAAATGAAAAAAAGGCAACGAATTGACTTTTTGGTTAATATATATATTATATATATGTAGGTACAATAAAAAATCACTCTATATATATATGTTGCTAATTTGAAG